AGAAACGTCTCAAAAAATCACTTGTAGCGCCTACTAGCCACTCATATAAGTCATTCATTACCTCTGCCCTTACTTAAAAAACTGTACTGGCTCTTTTTGGGACGATGTAGGAACGTGCGCAATTATTTGTCAACACAGAAAGTGCGTGAACCGCGAACTGAGGAATTTAAAAGGCTGTTTCTCCTCTATATCCCCAGATGTTATTGTAATATAAGTAGCGGTGGGAAAAGTACTTGGAGCCTTAAGTAAAAGCAGCAAGTGTAAAAAAAATACCCAGTTACAAGTAAAGGTCCTGCTTTCAAAAGTAAAAGTCGGCTACAAGAGTACAAGCAACAAAAAACTTTAAATAGTCTACTACAAGTAAATGGCACCGCTTGTTGTCACCAGGGATCAATATCATCATATGGTATCTTGTTTTATTTTTATGTTACAAAACGTTATTAGAAAAACATTATTAGCCTCTGAAATGGAGTGAAGCTAAAGTATGAAGTAGAGGAAAATGGAAATACTCAGAGTAGAGATATTTCAAAACTATACCTAAATACAGTACTTGTACACATGTACAGTTACTTTCCACTGTTGTACTTCAGCCTGTTGAAGTGCAGCAGTCACTGACAGAGGACATATTCACTTCATTAAACACAGATACAAGTAAAAAATGTATCTAAACTATCAAAAAAAGTGCTCCAGAGTGTTTCACATATCATATTAGACCATAAAAACAATAACCTAAACTGTGGTACTTTTGTATTATTTAATAACTAATACTTTTGGACAGCTTGTTGGACAAAACTAGACATTTAATGAAGGTTATTGAGATGAAATTTGTTTCTAATAGTTTATTAACCAAATGGGTTTTCTGAAGAAGTAGTTGACAGATGAAAACCTGTTATGTGCAGCCTGTACCATATTATTCTATATTATAACACGAGTAGCTTTTACTGTTGCAATTTGTTGACAAGTTATAACAGTACATTACAGTTTATAAGACAACTTTAACTGTGGAGTGAAAAGTACACTCTTCCTTTGAAATGTACTGGATTAGAAATGTGAAGTAGTATAAACACCACATCCTCAGGTAAAGTACAAGTACCTCAAACTTGTAGCTAGTTTTGAGTACTTGAGTAAATGTACTTTGTTATATTCCACCCTGACAGAATGACTCTGTATTTGCTGGCCCTATTCTGTCTGAGGTGATGTGCATGACTGCAGAGCAGTTCATGTGTTGGTGTGCAGAGAGGAAGACGAGCACAGCCTGCGGCCTCTGGAGGGAGGAATGATGATTTTCCATGTCAATGGTCTCCCCTTAGCGCCAGGAAAGGGGAAATAATATGAGGACTGTTGCACAAGAGCTCCAAATTTAGAGGTCTGTGGAGTAGAGAAAGGAAACACTGCGACTTTCAAACTGAGCAGGAAGAGGAAGAGTGACTGGTTTAATTAAGAAACATGAATTATGTTTGAGATAATTAGGGCTTTCTGCCGCTCTCCATAAAGTAACAGCGAGGCTCAGTGTGTGTTTGTACATGTAGAATGTGGCTGCAGCAGGATACATGTACAATGCAAACCGTATGCTGAGTTTCTTGGCGTGCAGTTATCTGACATGCCCTTGTGATTTCTCTGCTGGGAGTGGGAGTTGGGTCGACTCCGAGAGGTGAAAGACGAATTCAGTGCATGTCTTGTCGAAATCTGAACCCAGTAAACTCCCGGCCTCACTCACTCAGCTCAAGTTTTCAAGGTCTTTTTAGTAACAGAAGAGCCTCACTCACTCCGTTCAGGTTTTCAAGGTCTTTTTAGTAACAGAAGTCAACTTGGTTTTTGTCATTAGTATTATTACCGTTTGCCTAAACCTGTGACACTTGTAAGTGTAATGCTCTACCAATGCGCTTAAATCAGGAGGAGTTTAAAAAAGTAAGAAACACTCATGAGCATTTATATAAATGCGTGAAGTGTTGGTCCACAGTCTTGGTCTGTTATTATGCTTTGCTTTACTTTATGACTTGGTTTGTAATTAAATGTCTTTGTTCTCTGTGCTTCTGAATTCTCTGCTTTTCGTGAGCTTATCTGTGTCTTAGTGCTTCTTGCCTACAAAATAACCTGACGTTTGATGAAACATCATCTGATTTCAGAAGTTACTGTCCATGAAGGACGGATTGCATAACGGCGGTTTCCCTTCGCTGTGTGTGCAGCCTGCAGCAGGCATGGAGCAGAGGTGAGATCCACGGACGGCCAGCTCCCCTCCTGCAGCGCTCCAGGACCATGCTAGACTCGAGCCTGCCGCACACTCTGCTATAGCTGCCATCTGTCTATCACCATGGTGACAGAGAGCTCCTGGACCTTGACACTGTTGCCATGGTGACCCTGTAATTCCAATCTGTTGCTGTGGTGACCACATTAAAAGCCCCAGGTAACTGTAACAATCTGCTGCCATGGCGATGCTGTAGAGACGCCCAGTGAAGTCATAAGCCTGTTGCTATGGTGATCCTGTAGCAAAGCAGCAGTCACTATGGGAACCTCCAGGATGTTCCGTGTTTTTGTCGTCCTGGGTTCGGCCTTCATGATCCTTCTGATCATTATCTACTGGGATGATGTCGGAACAGCTCATCTGTATCTGCACACTCCGGTCTCGCCGGGCCCCAAAATCCCACACCCCCCTCCCCAGCAGCAGCCTCAGACCTCCCGAACCCCATCTTTCCTGCATGACATCGATGCCTTCGTCAACCAGTTCTTAGAGCCGGGAACTGGCGAGCCCACAGACCCTGCCCCCTCTGACTCAAGCAACCAGTCGGAGAAAGCAGAGGAGCAGTATATACCCCGACGGGAGTGGAAGATTCACCTGACTCCAGTGGCACCAGAGCTCCGTGAGAGACAGGTTCATATCTGAGCTCATTTTTATTTTTATTAGCAGCAGTTTTGTTGTAAGGGCGGCTGGGTTTTACTGAACCTTTGTAACAGCAGCAGCTTGACATGTGATAGCAGTGAGAAGCACAGGTGTGATGAATAAAAGTAATAATGCTGCATTGTTGTCATTCCAGCAGCCATTTGTATGAACGGCATCGTTAATGTTCCACCTTTCTTTTTGCTTTTCTGTGTTAGTGATAATACTACATCCAGTAACTGTGCCGACGTTTTAATACCATTATTCAAGAAATGTTTTTCTACAAATGCCAGAGTTTTTAAATGTTTAACATAGGCAGCCGCACCAGAGCTGTTCTAAGATAAGAGTCTACAATAGCCACATCTCTATTTAAACCTTTAGTTCTTCTCTCTGACTTACATCACTCTGACCTCCTTAGTTTTGTTGCACCTGTTTGTGTAGGAGAGGTTGCACACTGCTCCTGAGAGCTCATCTGCCAGAATAAGCAGAGACACCTGTGTCGGTGCTCAGGGCCTTTAAATCAGGGACAACGGATAAAAGACAGTAAACAATAAACATGACAATATTTGCCGGCATTCGGAATGAAAGAGTTTTGAATGAAAGTTGTTTTAAATTTATTTGTGCTTTGGTGCCCTAAGAGGAAAAGCTGCCACTAAACCTCATGTCATTTTAGTTGCTAATAACAGCTCTGTGTGCGTTTTACCAAACGGGTGAATCAGGAGCAGCGGCGGCGGTTACTGCAGGAGATGTGTGCTAACGACAGCGTGGCGTTTCCTGGCAAAAACCGTTCGTTTGATGACATTCCCAACAAGGAGCTTGATCACCTGATTGTGGATGACAGGCACGGTATCATCTACTGTTATGTGCCAAAGGTACGCCCACACCTTCCTGCTTTGCTTGAATCAGTTACATTAAAAAGAACTGGAGCGCTGGGCTTTGGTTTTTCACTTGATCAAATCTGTTTTTCTTATGTCTATTGAGCCTTTATTTTTATTTCATGTTGTTTCTACCAGTTTATGCCAGTTTCACTTAGCCTCCCCCCCCTCCCTCAGGTGGCCTGCAGTAACTGGAAGCGGCTCATGATAGTCCTGAGTGAAAGCCTGCTGCATGATGGCGTTCCACAGCGAGACCCCCTGGCCATCCCCAGAGATCTGGTCCACAACAGCAGCATGCACTTCACCTTCAACAAGTTCTGGAAACGCTACGGGAAGTTCGCAAGGCACCTCATGAAGGTCTGTTAACATGCTGTACTTCACTGTGCACTGTTTAGTTATAATACTACAACAATATATTAACTGCTAAATCATTCAGTGCACCGTGACTGCCATGTGTGGGAGACTGGGTCTTTGCCAGGTTGTTGTTCAGAGGTAACCAGGAAATATGGTTTATTTGCAGGGGACCTGGTTAAAAACAAACAAACAATTGAGTTATTGTGTGCATATGTTAAGACACCCCACAATGTTTATTTTCTTTTTCATTTATCATATTTTTTTTATGCAAGTTCAAAGTTAAATGCGATAAGATACTGGCTGCCCCTGAACGCCTCTCAATGCAATATCCGGAGGTGCCGTGAAAGTGCTGGGACACACCTCCTTATTCCGGTGTAGAGCTCTGTTTTTTTTGGGCTTTGGGGGCAGTAGTGAGGAGTGCAAGAGAGGAGCCGATGATGGTTGTATTTTGAATAAAAGTTTTTGTGTTAACACGGCAACTCGACTGGACCCAGTGTGTTAACCTGCTGCAACACATGCACTCGTCTCGTTTTGAATTTGTCTGCTGTCTCAATAGCTACATGGTAAAGACTCAATTATCATTATGATTTTGGGGCTGTATCACCAGGTGTCACACACTGTTTTACCTGCTCAGATATTTTTTGATACAGACACGTCTAGCAGAGCATCTCTGTAATTGGCACCGGTGCATTTGGGATTCACCATTCGTCTGCTAGTGTTGTATCATGATACCATGATCGTATTGTCTGCACCTGTCTCTCCTGTCAGAGCATGTGATGCAGGTGACCCCCAGCTGTGTCCCTGTGCACCTCTGGTCACAAAATGATTAAAAAAAAAAAAAAGGTCCTCACCATACAATGAATCATTTGGTGAATCCCAGTTTTCCTAAATGTATCCACATTTCCCTCATGGGTACCATTTCCTCATGTCTTAGTCCCGCCTACATAAAACGCAAGGAGAAACTGTGAGGAGAGGAGCCAAGGAAGCACATTTTAATGTGACATGAGACATCCTTTCCTCAGAGCGTTCGTGCGAATCATCCAATTACAAACTGATTTCCGATAAAGGGGCATGTCAATCTGTAACAGACTTCAATGAAGGATGCACTTGTGTATCCTCGGTTATAGCTCCTCCAGCTGCCTCCTTGCTCCTCAGAGCAGAAATAAGAGCTGTGGGACGTCCTTCATCACGGTGGACTGGAATGACTTCCGGTTCAAGTGAGGTTCGAGGACCAAGGAGTTAAAAAAGGGAACTGGGATTCACCTATTGTTTCTCTAAGATACAGCGGCCTCTGTTGTGTCAATGCATGTCTTATTATTTGTTTTCAGTTGCCTTCACTGTCTCAATTAATGGTCCATTCTATGTATAATAATACATTTCTTATCTTTTAAAGGTGAAGCTGAAGAAGTACACCAAGTTTCTGTTTGTGCGGGACCCCTTTGTGCGTCTCATCTCCGCCTACCGGAATAAATTTGAGATGCGTAATGAGGACTTCTATCGGCGTTTTGCACAGGTCATGCTGCGCCGCTACGCCAATCAGCCGACACCTCCTTCCTCTGTGGATGAGGCGATTGCTGTGGGCATCCAGCCCTCCTTCTCTCACTTTGTCCAGTACCTCCTGGATCCTCAGACAGAGAAGGAGATGCCCTTTAATGAGCACTGGCGGCAGGTGTATCGGCTTTGCCACCCGTGCCAGATTCAGTATGATTTTGTGGGCCACTTGGAGACGGCAGAGGAGGACGCAGAGCACCTGCTACGCCAGCTGCGGGTGGACAATGTGGTGGAGTTCCCCACCTCTCACAGGAACCTCACAGCCAGCAGCTGGGAAGCTGACTGGTTCAGCACAGTACCTGTGGAGGTGCGGAGAGAACTCTACAAGCTGTACGAACCCGACTTCAGGCTTTTTGGCTACGACAGACCAGACTGGATCCTCAATGAGTGACTCGCGTTTTTACACAGTGGGCCCAGGCACGAGTAGACAACACGGTCTTTGTGTTAAGAAATGATACACTCCAACTACAGTGACACCTCCCTTTGTTCTGGGCTTTGCAGATGGCTTCTCCACTCCAGTCCGTTCTACGCTGAATGTGCACATTCTTAGGGACACTCACTCCTCCATCTCAGCACACTAAGGAGGTGAAGCCAGGTGTTAGCCATTATACATTATTGTTTCTCTTTATTAAAGGTATAGTCAGCGATTCTAGCAAAAGAATATTTACATTTCGACCACCATGTACACAAATCCACAAGTCATTTCAGTTAGGACACCTGCAAACTAGCAATTTAGCTGAATGTTCCAGTAAAAGTTGATTTAGCAAACAAGCTGATGTGACACAGATAATGCCCAGTTTGTTACAGTAGCATCGCCACAAAGATTAGCCTATTACCATAATGGTTTTCAGCGGCACAAACAATTGACCTGTCCAGAAGACAAAGAACAACATCTGTGTCCGTCCTCATTCCTTTTACATAAATGCCAGAGTTCCTCTCTTTGCTTGATTATGGTCCTTATTTTTCCAGTTTTTGTGCTTCTGTCTTTCTCCTCAGTTGTTTAGTTGTATAGGCTGTAAGTGGAAGCGGGGGAGCTGGTACTTTTTCAGCCACCTCACCGTTTCGGCTGCAGCAGTGTTGTGAGTTTTCCAAGCCACCACACACATGATGCTATGCACGAGCAGGTGTGCTCCTTGTGCTGATTGGCTGAAATTAGCCGGCCCGACCCCAATCCGATTTTCGCCTGTTACCCCGCGAACGCAGCACACAGTCACCTGGGGTTTGTGGCGTGTGCAGGCTGAAAGGCCAGGCAGAGAAACACCAGGAAATTTGAGCTGAATATGACGAAATGTGTAATTAATTAGAATCGCTGACTGTAACTTTAAATCGCAAAGATAACGCAAAGCAAACAAGTTAGTGGAACAAACAGCAGTTGTCTCTAACATGTGGCACATTCAGTGTAGTCCTTTAACTCAAAACTCTGTGCTAAGTATCGTTACTTTTCCGACTTTGATGTCACTCCATGCCTGCCGTTTGTGACCAACTGTGACAATCACACAGACTTTGTTGCAGGATGTTGCAGAGAAGCTTTGCCAAAGTGATGTCACAGAGCCATGCTCTCCATTTGTGATGTCATAGAAACCCTTCTGGATGTGACGTCGGCACAGAAGCAGTGGACAGGACACGTGGGCGAGTAGTTAAAGCAAGGTGTTACTAGAGTAGTATTAAATATAGTTGCACTAGTGTTAGTTGTCAGCTAATTTATTTCACATTGTGGAAGTGCAGCGTTTATGTTAAGCATGAAAGGGATTTGTATGTTGAACATTCATTGAAAATACGGCGACAGCTGTCAACATCAGAAACAGGTAGAATTCTCTTCTACCTCCTGCACAGATTAAGTAGATGCTCTTTTGTTACGCAGCACATCCTGTTCCCCCTGCTTTCACTTTGCTACATTAGGTTTCAGCACAGAGAAGCTCATTAGATCATATCACCAGAACTGTTTCTGACAGCGTTTCAGCAGCTTGCGTTATGAGCATGACAGAAACACCTCAATGTGTAGAAGCACAGCAGCTCCAGTGAAAACTAGACTGAAGAGCTGAATTTGTCTCGGCTTGTCTTTGAGACATAAAACTGGAGTTTCAACATTCTCCTGATGTCATTTCAGCTGTAGGTGCACAGGAGGTGACAGTTTTCTAAAGGGAACAGTGTCTTTTATTGCTCGGTATTGTTGTTAGCAACTGATCATCTTTGTGTTGTCACACACAGTCTGCAGATGTTAAGACTGAACTACACTGGGTGATCCTGGAGACCGAACAGTGTTGTTGATCTCTCTAAAACAGGATGGACATTTTTTACATTTTAAGGGCGGTATTTTATGCAGTATTTTGTAGCGGGGAGCTGAGCACATTACATGAAGCCAACAAAGAGTGTGCTAATGCGTTGTGTGTACAAGTTGGCTTGATGGTAGCATATCAAGTACAGTGGCAAGTCGGTGCAAGCTGAGGCTCTAGTCAGTGTTAAGGTCAGAGGTTTGAAGTAAAGGTAGAGGCAGGATGAATCACGTCTGGCATTAGGTTACATGACTAGTACAGGCAGAACGGGGAGACAGTGCCTTTGGTTGCAAACGCTTACACAACAAAATAGTATTTTTCTAGAAGGACTTAATTTTTACTGAGAACACAGTACAGTGACGCCACAACAGTTTGATGAACTGGGCTTTGTCTTGTGTGATTATTGTTTGGGACAAAGAGGAAAAACCGAGCCCTTCAGCAGAACTGTCCAACTGTCCTGCTGGGAGTTTGTATGAATCGTGATTGTGTGCTTTCAGTGGGCTTTTTAAAGTGATTGTGTCCAGTGGATCATTTAAAACCCAGGATTACAGTGTGGGTTGTACTGTACATGATGTCGAGGACCTGCTCTGTATCACACTGTTCTGCGAGTCACTAAGATGCACATGTTCACGCTAGTGACTCAGTGTCGTCTCACTGCCTTTTGTTTTTGTTTTGTGTGAGTGTGGGGCATTTTGTCAGATGGGAAACTGTATTGTTTGACTCTGTAATGGCTTAGTTAGCACCTGAAAAGGGCCGAATTATTTAACACCAGTACTGTATGTCATGTCATCATCGGAGAAATGTAGGTCCATGCTAAGAAAACAAAAACACACCTGTCACCTCACACTTCAAGTTAGCTGTATTTTTATATCTCTTTTGCTGTATTTTCATATGTGACTGTCCATAACTTTTTCTTAATGTTTCTTTCTGTCAAAGTGTAAACAACATTTTGTAAGGCAAAAAGAAAGTTTATTTATTGGCAGAGTACATATTGCTTTGATATGATATGCATATTTGTATCCACAGTGGCCCGACATCACGTTATTGCATTCATAAGATGCCAAACCTTGTCCTACATTTTGACCTCATTTCAGCTCCCTAACATCAAACAGTGGCACACACCAGAACCTATTTTTGAGACCGATGCTTTTGTAATATGTGTATTGTTCCTCTTCTCGTTTACGGGGGAAATGGAAAGTATTCATTCAGTGTGGTCAGTATTATGGTGTCAAACATCTTCTGGTCTTCATAAAAGACAAATAAAGGCTGTGGGGCATGATGGAAGATGCATCGGTCTCTCTCTGTGCAAATTAATCATGTCTCAAGTGAAGGAGGAAAAAAAAACAGTCTTCCAGTATTACCTGATATGAAGACACTATACAATTCATTTTAGATAATACTGGCACAAAACTCATAATGACCTGCCATATTAGCATATTATCAGATGTCCCTCGGTCAATTCACCCCAGTGTTGTCTCACCACCGTGATGGAGAAAAGTTACTGAGCAGTGAGGAAAGCTGCAACTGTGTTGACCACAGAAACAGTAACAGGAAATATGGCAACCTACCACAGACGTATCGTCTTCACAGTGCACCCATGGCTGTACGTGCATGTGTAGAACATGTATCGTGTTATATCTGGACACAGATGAGAATGAGGACACAGCTAAAGCTACAACACAAAAACTCCTCATCCTCAAGGTATCACTGTGTTAATGTTTATTGCCATCATCATTACAAGACCCTGTGGAGTCAGTGCAGGCAGATGGCTGTGATCTAAGCTAACAGGCTACAAGATGTAGCTTGTTATTTAACTACAGATAGACATAAAAGAGGCATCAGTCTTCTCATCTAACCCTCAGTAAGAAAACAGATAAGCACTTTTCTGTAAATGCCAAATTACTCCTATAAATATTGCAGTAAAACTAATTCAGGCTGAGCTGGTACTAATTTGTAGCTACCCTAAACTATAAACAACACAGGTGCATTCATCGACTGGTGGGCAGAAAAACACCATTACAAGCAGTCAGATACACAGCCGCTAGCTTTTATAAGCATCGGGGATGCAAGTCTTCACGTGAACACAAACACCTGTGTCTGCTGTGCTGGTTTATGTTAAAGATGTTCACTAAAGTGCGACTCTGTTGGCCAGCTGTTAAAGTCATGAATGTCCACTGACCACTAGTGGACACGGTGAGAAACTACACCCTGTTTGTAGCTAGCATCTGCACAACAAAGTAAATAAGGCAGATGTAGTAGTATAGCAATACTTCAGGTCAGTACTAAAATAAAAAATAAACTACTAAATGTAAGCAAACAAAAATGATCATGCTCATGGTTTGAAACAGACTAATTATTGAGCAGCCATGGTGTTGATGATCATGTTAGCTAAGTATAAACAGGTATTTCTACTATTATTCTGTTTTAAAATGCATTAGTTATGACATTCTTAGTCATATTAGCATTAATGCTAATATCTGTTTGTGGTATTTGTGGACTGGCAATTGACATGAGTGCATTTAGGTATATACAGTATCATGTATCAACGGATTCCGTTATACTTTTGACTCATCGTATTACTGCTGCTCATTGAATTCAGGCCTCTGGTCTGTGTACAGTGTAGTTTGCATTTATTCATGTTTTATTTTATATCAGGGGTTTTCAACCAATGGTCAGCGGCCCCCTGGTGGCCCACAAAGGCATTGCAGGTGGTCCATGACCATGCATTCAATAATTTAGTTTCACTGTAGGAAACCTTCAAAAAACGCACACACAAAACACGTTTCCATGTATTACTTACTGTTTACGAATAAGCTCAATCATACATCTATATACAATTTAGAAAAACCAAAGTGACTTTCAGGATTAAAATAGTGCCCATTCAGTCCACCCACCCCACAGGAGAGGTCCCAGGATTACTTCTTACCCCTCATTCCCACCGGATGCGGCTGCGTTGCATTCCATCTGTGATGCGGTTTTAAACTGTGATCTGTATGGCTTCATCCACCAGCGGGTGCTTCTGCAGAGCAGCTTGTTGAAGTGCCGAGTTTATGTGCAAGATCATTTTCATCATTTTTGAAGTTCTACAATGGGTAAGTAGGCTTCATAGGTTTGTGCTGTAGTCTAGCATATGGACACAGTTAGATTTATATGGGGCGCCGTTTGTAAAAATAGCACTTACACTAGTTTTCTCACATTTAGCTAAATATGATAAAACTTGTGTAAGTGCTATTTTTACAAACGGCGCCCCATAGATTTAGTGGTTACGGTTAAGTCGGTATGAAACATGGATCAAAGATTTGTGGCTTTGTTTCAGTTGTTACAAATACATCCGTCCTCATAGTTATTTTCTGTTTTACTTACAGTGCTAGTTGATGTTGTGATGTGACTTGTTGGTAGGAAGTAACCAACTAGTGCTGCCTAATTGGGGGGTCGAACCTTGAAGCGTCCTGGGACCAGCATCTGTCAAAAACAGACTATGTGTCTCTTTAGCAAAGCGGAACAGAGGGATCAGAGACAAGATGCAGCCGGACCTGGTGGAATCACAGCCGTTGACTAGACTGAGATCAGCTCCAGTGACTGAGCCGCACACAACGCAACACAGCTGCATTCGGTGGAAATGAGGGGTTAGTCAGAATGGTGGCCCCTGGTCCACAATTTGTTGAAAACCCCTGATTTGTATGATACTATATTAAAAAGGGAGCTGCAAAGACCGGGTAATCAGCACCTTTTGACAAACTTGTTTAGCACCAAATATTCAAGTATGCTTTAGGAATAAACCACAATTCAGTTTATAAAAGTATATCAAAGTCAATCCAAGGCAAATATTACTGGTAGAACTGCAGAAACCGTCAGTCCACACACAGCAGGTCGGTAACAGACGTAACTCATTGACTGTCCACATTATCAGTGATTCTGTTAACTAAGTCTACCTTTTCTTACCATATCCCATTATATAAATCTGTTTCTTACAGAAACAGTACACGGACAAAGTGTCTTGTTTTTGTTGTTTTAAAATCAATAATCTTATGACACTGTGGACTTTTAAGTCTAAAATATTATTACTATCATGAATTTATCCAGTTTTAATGAGAACATTTGCAGCTCTTGTTTTTTTTTTTTTTAAACACACATTTACTTCTTTGCTGAGTGTTACATGAAGAGATTGATACCACTCTCCTGAGTGTACATTAAATATGAAGTTACAGCTAGCGGCCAGTTAGCTTAGCTTAGCATAAAGACTGGAAACAAGGGAAAAGTGACATCCATATCCAACCAGCAGCTCCATATGTTACTGATTAACATGTTGTATCTCATTTGTACAAAACCAAAGCATAAAAGCAATCATTCACTGCTTTACTAAGGAGTTATGCGCCAGAGTACTTCTTGGAAAATAGTGCTGCTCGTGGCCAAGAAATAAGTAAGACGATGACTTACTACTTGCACTCTCTGTTTTTGTGTGGCTCAAACAAGATGTGACACTACTTTGTGAGGGTTGGAGATATTGCTAGGCAGATTTTTGCATGTTTGGACAGAGCCATGCTTGGTGTTTCTCCGTTTCCAGTTCCAGCTACAAATTTACCATGCAGACATAAGAGTGGTATAAATCTCCACAGCGAACTTTCAGCAAGAAAACAAATTAACATTCTCCCAAAATGTAGATTTTTTTTTCCCTTGAATGAAACCCTGCAGACCCTTTTTTGTAGGCTCGTATAAAAAGAGTGAGTCTTCTGTAGGGTGCCCTATATATTTTCAGCTTCTATTGGGGTGAATATATTCAGTTTCTTTCTTCACAATTCCTCAGAGGTACTGCTTATTCTCCTGCAACAACTTTGATTCTGGCACCACAGCGGGATTTCTTTTATCTAAAAATCAAAGAAAGAAGAGAGCAACTTTAAAGGCTTTCTTCACCCACGTCACTTCGGTTTGCTTGCCTGTTCATTTTTACTCCACGCTGGCTTTGATGAGGTACCCACTGAACGTGATGTAGACATCTACATCATCGCTGTATATTGCATTCTCCCTCTCCCTCTTGTACAGCCGCACCCACACCCAGTCGTTCAGCTCCAGCTCCAGCATCAGGCTCTGGCTCTGCATGATGGAGCGGTCGCTGGGCTGGGCGTACACGATGGCCTGTTCCATGTCGTTCCGCATGATGTGCAGGTACGTCTCCTTGAAGTTCCATGTGTGAATGTTGACGTTGAAGAAGTAGATCCCTGGGATGTGGCAGAAGAACTTCCCCTCGAACATGTCGAAGTGGCCGTCCGGGTTGACAAAGACCGTGTCAAACACCAGCACCTGGTACGTCTCCAGGCTGTGGAGAGATTTGCGACGGCCGACAGAGAAGGCAGAGTATTGGACTTTGCACGGGTCTCCTGGCAGACCTCCCTGGCCCTTAGAACCCTTTGAGCCCGTGGGGCCCATGGAGCCTGGAGGGCCTTCTTGTCCAGCTTTACCTGGTGTCCCTCTGTCTCCACGATCTCCTTTGTCACCTGTCCGCAGTGATATTATTCATACCACATTATAATAATTGAAAGAAAGAAAGCTTATAGCAGAAAGATTGAACAAGGAAAAGGTGAAAAAAGGTTGATGCCCTGGATTCAGTCTAATTCAAGATAACTGTTAAAGTGTTTTGGGTCTGGATGAAAGGACTGGAGCTTTCCCTGGAGTGCAGCTGCTTTTAGTTCAGGATTCAGTGACTGAATGACTTCATGAACGTGTCTAGAAAACCCGAACCATTTTGTCCTCTGTTTGCAAACTCCCACACATAAAGACATTCTGAGGAAGCTAGTTTGACTCCTTCCTAGAGTTTTCCCCAAGGGTTTGAAAGTTACTGGTTTCTGCAAAATGCAGCATTTTCTGACATTATTTAGAAAATCTTCAATACGCTGTTCCTCAAAAGAGCAAGTTCAGTGTCAGATAAACTATGACCAGAAGCTTTGGCAGAATCTGATGAAGCTGTTTGACTGACGAAAAAGAAAATGATCTGAAGAGCGACTTACAGCTACACTGAGGTTTTAATTGCCTGCATCCTTTATATTGACTCTGAACATCAGGGGTACATGGCCTGCATATTTTTCAAACCTTCTAAAACCAGTGTATGTACAGCTGTGCTTTGATTACCTTTGAGGATGGTCATGTTGATGTAGGTGCGAACCTCTGGCACTTGGACGAACGCCCCTGGTGGCGGCTGTGCTCCACTGCCCTCTGCTGGCTCCAGGTGATCACAGCAGTGCTGGCAAGGCACAGGAGGGACATTTGGGGGAGGCACCAGGGCCACCAGGGAGAGGATGGACAGAACGAGGAGGACCCCCAACATAGTTGTGCCTGTGGTAACAAGAGAGGAAGCTGACTGTTTAGGAAACTTTCACCAGCGAACAGCTCTAGGACCTAAAGCATCAGTCGTTTCCAGCTCTCTCCTCCAAACTGGAGCTCAAGACATTTGCTCTACATGTTAAACTTGGAGTTTCATGTTTTGAAGCTGTGACAAAATAGGAACATTTTACACTTTATTACTGTTGCACAATTCCAATGCACAGTTAAAGGGACTTCACAAATGTGAAAAGGCGCTTTGAGCTGAATGCTAACTTGCATTTGCTGAACACCAGCTACACAACTCACAACACAACACCAAATGTAAACAGTCGGCAAGGCTGGCAGCAAGAACACTGGCAGACAGCATGTGTTGGCAGAGCGAAACAAAGGAGGAAAGAGGCTGTCACGATATTTTACATCAACTTAGAATAAACAAAATTGTAATTTCAAATGTCTTGTGATAACATAGTCAAAGTGAACTGTCTTCATTTTGAGAGTTTTCTTCCTTTAACACTGCTCAAAGCCACTTTCTGTGGACGATGCCATATTGAGATGCATCTACTTCTTGGTGAAGCTGGGGTGCATGAATTTGGCCCAAGTTTCCAAGCTACAACCTCCAGACATGTCATGCTATATCACGCTTTTTCATGTGGCTGGAATGTAGCATCAGTTTGTAAATTAGCAGTGAACACAAAGTACAGCTGAGGATTGTGGGAGTGTCAGTGGATTTATAGGTACTGGACAAACTACAACGGTGATGATGGTGGTGGGGAAAAGTTTTAGCCATTGGCTAGTCAGCAGGATTCATCACCTAGGGCACATGGTAATCAATTAAAACTTGAGACGTTTTACTGAAAAGCACAAATGGCAACTTCACCGTGGTGCAAGAGGGAAAAATGGGGAATTCCCAGAGTCAGTGGGCTGCATCCTCTGGACACTGTGGACATAGGAATTCATGCAGTAGTTAAGATATGAGGTAAACTGAGCAACCAGCCAACACTGCCAGTCCACACCACCAGACTTTTACAGTGTCCCACTGATGCAGCAGGGTGTTCCACAACATTACAGCCAGTATTAACATCATTATGGCTCACATACACAAAATCTGAAAATCGTGTTATGTGAGCTCCTGGCTGCACCAGCAGTGCACATTCGCTTTATGGAACACAACTGGAATATCAGTTGTTCAACAGCTGGTATGAAAATAAGATCATTATAAGATCATTTGTGTCCTGATGTCCTCACAGAGCAGAGGAAAGCAGAATGCTCCACCTTGAGCCAAAGGAAACATGAAGAGACGTTAAATAGTGCCTCAAAGATTCCCTGATTCTCTTCTCATCCACATGTAAAGAACATTACACAACAATGGGAGATGGCTGGACCACAAGAGACACAAGTCATCAGAACATTGCCCCTGCACACAGCCCATCATTTATGACAAATCAGCTCTGACAGTTGGCTTCCTACAGCGGTGTAGTTCACCCAGAGAGAGAGCCAAGCTGACTGGGTTTCAGTGGAACAGGCTGCCTGCCAGTCCACTATGTGACTAGACACAAAGTCGCTCTGCAGAAGAATACACACATATTTCAAAGACTGCATCTGTGAGACAAACCTGCGCTAATATCAGCAGATGGAAAAAAGCACCGACTGCTGCTGTTTCTTAGCAACACAGCTCCAGTGAAACTGTAATCACTTTGCAGTCATGTGCTTTTCATTGTCTGTGTTTGGTGTGTAGAAAGAGGACATGACACCAGTGAAACCAGTATTGTTTGGCTGAAGTCACTGTTAACATTTCCTGTTAGAAAATAAAATAAGCCACTGCAAAGAAATACAAAAGACACAAACTAGAGACAGATGACTAGAAAGAGGCATAAAACAAGTACAGGGAGACACAAAACAACTGTGAAGACAATATAAAGTGAAAACAAGTACATAGGTGGTGCAAAACAACTGAAGACAGACAAGGAAAGACACAAATGACTGCAAAGGGACAAAACAAGAATGAAGAGACATAAAACAACAGGAAGAAAGGAGCATGAAGTGGCACTGACAAGAAACAAGTAAGACTAAACAAGGAGAAACAACATGGCTATATTGTTTTAGTCATCCTGTGGCTCTTGTAGGAGGACTGGGGCCCTGTGCCCAGGGGTCCAGTGGGTCATAATCAAACCACACACACATTTGCTGTCCACTGTCTGGATGTCACTGTTTTAGACACTGTCCTTCCCACATGTTGCAGTTGTTGTACCCTGTACTTTTTACCATACTGACTCGGAGAGACGAGACAGTCCAAGTAACTACAAAACTGTGCTGATTTATTCCATTAACACAGGCAAAAATTAACATTACACACTCAGGTATCTTGCACCTCCAAACTGCTCGCAGGCAGATGTAAGATGAAAGACCCTGAACCCACCAGGCCTATACATTATATCCCCTCGGTTGGGCTAGCCCCATGCTACACAGAAACGTCAACCGAGACGTCTCTGTTACCAGCTTTGCAGCTGGTCATAGCAGTAGTCAAAACATGAAGCAAATCAATGTGTGTGTGTCTGTTGATTAAGTGGTGAGTAGCTAAAAACATTCTCACGACCTCTAGTACATGTCGTGACTTAAACATAAGAACATATTATGGCTAAGGCTACAGTTATACACGTCATAATAATAATAATATTAAACACCCTGTCTGCTGACAGTCATCAACTCTTCTCTCTAGTTATCCTTGACCAGATGTACCCTGTAGAAACTCATGACTAAGCATTTAACAGTCTAACTAGACATCCTATCTCCACTAAACATTTCTAATACATAAAGTATCTATCCAATTTCTATCTGACTAAAAATACCTAACACAGTCAAAATACTACTTGGTCCTAATGGTGTTTCTGTATCTGGCACTGAAAACCTGCTGCTTGTGTTAAAAGTTCAAGTTTGGGGAAGAAGGCGTTGCAAGCGTGAACACAGTACAGCTACTCATACATCATGCAGACTGCCGTGCATTACAAATGAGTCCGGTGCAAGACTAACGAAGCTGCAATCAGACGAGCATCATCCAAAATGCCTGCGTTCAGTTAGCGCGCACGCAAACCAGTGCATTCAGCTTTTATCTGAATGAATCTCACCTCGTTCACGTCTGTGGCGCCGCTTCAGTCCACAGAGGAGACAGAGGAGACAGAGGAGAGGGCAGCTCCAGAATCAGCAGCGCTCCGTGTGTGGCCGAGCTGTGATGGATCGCTCCTTGTTACGCGCAGACTCTGCCAACGTGCGTGTCCATTTACTGATGACCCAGATGTGAAGATCAGCTGTTGTCAGTGCAGTTCTTTCCTCTAGCTGCCGAATACTAAACTTGATCAAACGACATGCGATTTTAAAATTTGACAGACATTATATCGTCCCATCGCCAGTAACTGTTACTGGTGCATGTGCGCGCACAACCACGGTGGGATCTCTCCCCACAGTGTGCAAAGTCAAAGAAACTCCTGGTCATTCCCCGGAGTCTTCATTTCCTCTGTCCCGAATTCCTTCCCTCCCCCCCCTTCCTCCACGCCTCCCATTGGTTGCAGCTGAAAGGAGAGAGAGAGAGAGAGAGAGAGAGAGAGAGAGAGAGAGAGAGAGTAGTGCAAAAAAACTGAAAAATGCAGAATAATGGGAAATAGGAGGGATGCCAATTAGTGATGATATATCCAGACCTGGAAGAAGAATGTACTTTTCTGCATCAGATTTGTCTTTGGGAGGAGGAGATGACAGAAAGAGCAATGTGAGAAACGTATGGTTGAAGGTGAAGGTCAGAATCTGGATGCAAAGAATGACTGAGAGAACAAGGAGACAGGTAGGACCCTCATAGACATGGTGAACGGCCCTTCGATTATGAATCTGTCACATGGTCAAAGACAGCCATCAGCAACAGCTGTTTGCAGGTGGGGACAGTCAGAGGCAGGATTTGTGCACACGTGTAACATGTGCACAGCTGTTTGGCCTTCCTGAGGGCCAAGCTTTTTATGTCATTCCATCAGGAGAGCAGTCCTCTCTGTTTCCACCCAGTGTAAACTGTTATGATGCAGTTCGTCTTAGCTTCCTGTAAACATTTGCTATCTGCTGTGTTTAGGAACCAGGCGCCCATTTTCCCCACGCTGATCCTCCTCTGGGCTTCTTACAGGAGTCTGTTTATCTCTAGACAACATCATTACACACACCCAGTTCTCTCTGACCCTAAGAGTCGTGACCTTTGACCTTCGAGGTGGACTCTTACACACGTGTGTGTGGTGACTGCTGACCACAACGCTGCAGCTGATTTTTCCAGCTCTTAAAACTAATACAAAGACTAAAGCCTTGTTTGGGTTTGACCTGCTAAGTTAATTAACAGAAGGGTGACAAAATATTAGTTACTCCAGTGCAAACGAACAGTGACTGGAGACTTTTGAGGCTCTAAGCAGAAATGTTTTCGCCTGCCACGACTCCACCCTCATTTTTTGGTTTTACCACAAAAGATATTGTTAGTGGCTGAGATAATTATGGGGAATAGCATTCAAAGTTGGATACCGGAGGTGAGCTGAAACTCCAGACCTCAAAGCGTTCTTGTGGTTTAGCTCAGGAAAAACAAAGAACAGCTGGTTTACAAGCAGAGCTGCACGGGTTCCTGCACAGTTTGCTGGCACACCTGATGCTCACAACACTATGGGTTACCCATATGGATGAAGTCGTCTCTGCATTGCACACATTTGATTATTATAACTTATGATGTTAATGACTTTTAATAAGATGGTCGTTTCCTCTTCACAGTATACGCTGCCCTGCAGTTGGACACATTTTTGTGATCTCATCTAACAGTTCTGCTGCTGTTGGGTTGTAACTCCAGCACAAAGCAGCTGCACGTTTTCTGGTTTCCAAGTTCAGGTTTAAATTCGGTGAAAAGACTTTTCACTGATGACAGGAAGCGGTCAGTGTAATGCTACTGCTAGTTTAAAGGAACTGTTGAACATTTTGGGAAACATGTTGATCCACTTTTTACTGAGCGCTACATGAAACAGTCCACAATGAAATGAAGGAACCAGCTGCCCAAAGGTAACGTCTGTCTACCAGCACCTCCAAAGCTCACAAATAAACATGTTGGATTTTATTTGTTGAGCTAAACTTTGCTGGCTCTGGCTTTCACCTAACTGCAAAAAAGAAACATACAAGTGTATCTCCCAAAATGTCAAACTAGTGCTTTAAAAAATGGAAATTACAGAAAGCTCAAGAGTCATGAAAGAACCCGAGCCTCTAGCTGTTGCATGAACACATAGAAGTGCTGGCCCACATGTATTTATGTCTACATGCCTAAAGATAAGAGTCCAGTCAGTTCAGCATCAGTTGCAGTAAAGGAGACAGACGTTTTAGAACACGCTGTTCCTGTTGCTGGTACAACCATGTTCGTATGTTGGCCCCTGTGGTGCTTGTGACTGCTGTGGTGTGTCCTTCTCCGAACAGCAGTGGGTTCTGATTTTAGTCCACATAATGGAATAGACTTGATTTTAAACTGTTAATTTTTGTTTTTAAGGCCCTTAATGGTTTGGCTCCATCCTACCTCGCTGTGCATTGGCACAAACCTACAAGGTCCTTCAGATCTTCAAGCCAGTTTCTTTTAGAGGTTCTTAGGGCCAGATATAAACGCTGGGGTGACCATGCTTTTACTGAACTGTGGAATAGTCTACCTTTTAATGTTAGGTCAGCTACTGCTTAAAAATTATTTATTTGGTTTGGCTTTTAATACACAGTAGGACCTGATGCATTCCTTTTAATCTAATTTATTGAATGTGTGTCATTTCTGTGTCTGAGTTATTGTTTTATCTTTGAAATCAATCTATTTTATTTTATTTTAGCTATTTATCATGATTTTATTCTGTCTATGTAAAGTACTTTGGTCAACTGGATGTTGGTTTTAAAGTGCTATATAAATAAATTTGATTTGATAATGAGGATGAAAAACATGATCGGCCAACAATCACATCCCCCCCGGTTCACTGCCGCAGAGGTGCAAAACAAGCCCTGTGGTTTTTCAGCAGAATTTACAGGCTTTTTAAAAACCTCTCTCACTCTGTTTTATTTCTCTCTCTCTCTCTTTTCTGGCCAGCTGGGCCAAAACTTGATGACTGACAGAGCAAGAAGAGGAAATTTAAACAAGCTGTGACCCCAAAGCTGTCCAGCTGGAGCGACGCCTGATTGAGGACCGGACCCAGTGGACAGAGATGATATTTAATGAACCAGGAACAAATGTAAAATGAGTGAGACACTTTTGGCTGGAATTTTATACCAACATCACTGTCGCCAAACAGATGTGAGAAAAGAAAGGAAGAAGAAGAAGAGGAGGAGGAAGAGGAACCCCTGGTTCACTTTTGTTCAGCTGTTTAGTGGCACCTAGTGGTAGAATCAACACAGTGTGGGCACTTGAACCTAATCTGGGTCATGAGTAACAAATGTAAACAGTTATCCACACTAAAAATAGCTGAGTTTGAAGTACAGATGCAGTAGTGGGTTGAATGTTACCCGGTTTTCAGGGGTAGAAAACCATCTGCTGATATTACAGTTGAGTTATTTACCCCAATTAAAATATGGTTCAGTTCAACCTCAGTGTGTCTAATTGACCTTTTACTTTTACTGTGTTGCTGCAGTTCATTTCAGTCCATTTGTACAGATGTAAATTCTACTGAGATGACTTGTTTTGGTCTATAATGGGCCAGCACGTAGCTTAGAGGAAGAGGAAGCTAAGCAGATAAATAAAGGTGCGCCTTTTATAACAAATCCACTCTGTGTGTTGTTCAGGGACATGGCTTGACATTGTTTAGATATGAAGAGTGAAGCTGTTGTGAAATGGAAAGAAAAGCTTGTGAAAGTGATGAAATGTGACACTTTGTGTGGTTTCTTACTGACAAGCTAAATATTGTAAATTGTTTCAGGTGAACGGATGCTGCTGGTTGTGTCAGAGTTAAATGTCAAACCACACTAATACACACTCGCACACACACACCACCAAGACCACCTGACAGGACATGTAAACACTCACACACACTCGTGTCAGGCTGTCTCACACTACAGCTCACATGTCCACCCCTGAGCTCTTTCCACTACGACACAGGAAATGAAAGGGTGATCATTTCTACCAGAGCTTTTATTTTCTTTGGTCTCTGCACAGATGTCAGTCACTGAGTGCAACGGAAATATTCTGCATGTGTAGAGATGTGAATTACATAAATCTAGAATAAGCAGCCTAACAAAAAGCAGCGTTTACCAAGTGCAACCACACTGTGGGCTGGAGGATGATGATCACAAGTGTTGACCTGATCTCTTCAAAGACAGGAAGTCACTTTAAAGGGCACAAACACGAGATTATAAAAAAAGCATCAGTGGCAAACCAGCTGCCTCACCTTTGACAGTAGATCAGTTTAGACTAAAAGCAATGACGCTCAAATGCTGTTAGTCAGTTAGTGCATCACATCTTCCTGCGATTCAACTCTAAAGCAATCCTCCCATGTTCTTTATTAAAAGTAATTTACACAGTCAAAGCACAATCAGGTACTACTACTTTCAAAATCCTAGATCTACCTGCCGGACTAAAGACTCTTCATTTTGCACTGTACAGTGATTATTAGTAGTTTTAAAGAACTCTCACGACATACACCGATCAGCCATAACATTATGACCACTGACAGGTGAAGCGAATCACACTGCGGATCTCATTACCATGGCACCTGTCAGTGTGCGGGGTATATTAGGCAGCAAGGGAACATTCAATCCTTGAAGTTGACATGTTGGAAGCAGAATGAGGATCTGAGCGACTTTGCCAAGGGTCAATTGAATTGGTCTAAACAAGTTCTCCAACTTGTCCTCACAGCCACAGTTTTCACTGAACGGTCAACACATCTGTGCTCTTCCTGACAGTGTGGAAGCAAGCGGATTCACAGAAGATGCACAGTGACACGAGTGCCATCCAGCTGCTGCACTGACTCCTGTGTGTGCAGTGTTAGGCAGGTGGTCGTAATGTTATGGCTGATCAGTGTATACCTTTGTAAGATACAAGTTAAAGTAACAAAAAGCAAATTCCAAAACTGCATGTCTTATGTTTTTTAGACAGTGATCAATAACTGACTAAAGTAATGCTTTCATGACCTGCAGTGCTACAAGTTATACAAATAAAGCTAATTGAAACTACACAATAAAGAGTTTAAGGTACTCGTTATGAGTTTCAAAATACTGTACATATGCATGACTGTACATGACTCTGAATGCAGTGACACTGATTCATACATGCCGGGCTGTGTCAGGCTGTAAACTGATATTTAACCTGCATAGGTTTTTAAATTTCGGGACAGTTTCTCTTCTTACTAAGCAAAATGAATCAAATTCTGATTATTATAGCAGTGATTACAGCATATGCTGCAAAACTAATACCAGAATGTAAAGACACCAGCAACGGCTCTGTCCATTGCCTGTGGTGAAAGAAGCAGCCAGTAAGTTACATTTACCGATAGGGCCGATGTGAAATATTAAAGCTGCTCTAATCAGAGATTTGATAGTAACAACTGATTAAATGATTACATGTAATGTGAAAGGTGTCACCAGTTTGTAGCTGTTTAGCCTCTTTGAGCTTCATGTTTGGGTTTTCACACACACAACTTCACTCACACTGCTCTTAGCGACCTTGTTGTCTCCAGCAGCTCTTATAAACCCACTCTACGCTACATGTCCAACACCAAACACCAGGAAAAGTTAGCGACTCGCTTGTAGTATAGTAGAGCATTTAGCAGCTAAGGGCTCAGATATTTCCTCTGGGAGTTAGTGAGACTAAAACAGAGCTATAAGAAGAGTGAATGTTGGCTGATGTTCGTTAGCTGGCCAAAAACAGCTGTTTGCTAACAAGCTAACTGCAACAACCAGGGCCCAGGAGGTAGGATTGCAGCGCTGTTATTCAAGAGCCGGTAATCTTGAAAAGTCATACTCTGGATCAGGGTGATCTTACCCTGAATTGTTTTGAACTACAGATAAAATGTGGCTGAGTTGTCTGATCCTGGATTTGGACTTCCAAATCTGATTGGATCTGATTTAGATTAAAGGTTTTGAACTCCTGGACGTAGGTGATAATGACAGTGTGTTTGTTTTCAGCAGTGACAACAATGAATTACTAAATAAAAACCACAGAATTTGTAAAAATGCAATTGTTTTGTTGTCAAAGCAGCACAGGAGTACTCCATGCTGTCAGGGAAGCGCCCCTCCACAATCAGATCAGAACAGCCAATCAGTCGGGTTGCTTTTGATGTAAACACAGATTAAATTTGAATCGATCACAAAGGGATTCTTCCAGATACACCCTGTGTTTTCAGATGGATTTGTTGCTGAATGTGGTCTGTAGTTCTTTGAGGGTGAGATAGCCTGTTTTACAGGGCTCGACAGGCATAGAGGAAGACCTGCACATAGCACTAGCCACGGGCCAGGCTGTATAGCTACCGCTAGCAGCTGCCACAGGTGCATCCACCTGGTGGCTATCAGAGGATATCTGAGTTGCACTGGGAGGATGAGGAGGGGGTGGAGCATAGGGGGGAGGGCACATCCAGGAAGGAAGAGGGAGGATGAGAAGAGGAGAGCTCTGGTGATCATCTGAAACCTCTTCCCCTTCTGTGTCCCTTTCATCTTTCTTTTCCTCTTCGTCTTCCTTTCCGATGCCAAACCCAGAGTCTGGGCTCTGCGGCTCCTTCTTCAAGCTCTCATAGGCTGGAGAAGCAGCAAGGGAAGGGCAGAGGGAGAGACGGAGGTTGTGGCCTTTATTAAGATCATGGAAATCATCCTGATAGGTGAAGTAGACAGGACTGTGGTCAGTCTGCGTCGTGTTGCTGGAGGCGCTGGACATGAAGTAGCCCCTGTTAGAGAAGCAGGATGATGAGGAGAAGGAGGAATTGTCAAAAGCCCCGCTAGTGTCTGAGCCAGCAGACGGGTAAGTCCTGAAGTGGAGCAAGGCAGTGGTGGAGCCGGAGTAGGAAGAGGTGGAGGGGACCACGTCCCAAACTTCACACACCTCCACTGGGGAGATGGGGTCACATGGCTGAACCGTGAAGAATGACTCCGAAGTCGGCAAAGGATTCAGCCATTTCTAGGGAAAAAGAAGAAGATTTAGTCTAGAAAACCTGCACATGATGAATGATACAGGATGACAGCAGAGTTTTCTTCTTAAATTCTGGCGACGTAAATGTCCTAATTAAGCATGTATGTGTGTTTGTTAATGTCGCCTGGAATACAAACAACAGCACCATGAAGCGTCTTCTTTTTTCTTTAATGGTCAGAGCTGCTGTTACTAGTTCTAAATGAATATTAATGGAACAAGTGAACAGTTATTCATACTGAAGTTGCAGCCATGTGAATACCACAGAGTTAAGTTTGTGGTAACACCTGCAGTCAAACTGTCCCATGTGGTCAGACACAGTAGCAGAAGTGTGTGGTGAGAACTTTTATTTTTACCTTTAGATTTCCTCCGTGCACAGCGTGGAGAGTGTGGAAGTACTTGGATGGGTTTGGTACTGGCTTCCCTGTGAGACAGCTGAAGCAGCAGAAGACCATTAGATTAGACATACTGCATGCAAACACACACACACACATACAAGCCTGAATGAAGAATACTCACCGCCTGCTCACGCAGCCCTTGTAAATGACCAGGATGAGGACAATGAGACCCACGCCGACTATCGTTCCCCCTGTTAGCACAAATGTCTTACCCGAAAACCGATCTGGAACAGAGAAGCATCTCTGCCTGTAAAGACCTCGAACCTGACTGAGCTACTACATTTTCCAGGATCATTCTGGGACCTGGAAAAAGCAGGAGGCTGTTGAAACTGTAAAAAGCCTGTGAGGTGCTTCAGCTGTCTTTTTTGTTGTTACCTTGATCCTGTGAAGTTGCCATCCAGGATACTGTCGGACTCCAGTGGCTCCAGTGGCTGTTTTTTTGTTCCTCGGGTTTGATTCTCACCCGGACCTTGCAGTAACCCTTTAGTTGCGAAGTAGGTATTCTTAGCTCTTGTTCATGTGTGGACAAAGTGCGGGCCTCCTGATAACAGACGAACATGTGCCACAGGGTGTTTCTTAACAGCAGAATCTAAAATTATTTGAAACTCATGAGCAGCATCACATTTGTTGTGTGACCTATGTGTAAAACCAAGCACTGTCTTATTGGCTGCAAGCAAATAAATATAAATACATAAACCTCAGTGAACAGGGAAGCAATACGGGTTAAACTCATGGGAAGCTGATGTCAGTAGGAAGTTACAATATGCATTATATGAAAGTTTTCACTTTCAAAATCAGTAATAAAGCCCTAGCCATAAAGAAGAGGAAACTGCACATGAAATCTGCAAAAGATGTTGATAAAAGAAGCACATACCACAGGCTGCATCTTAAATTAAACCGTCAGCATAAAAACAAGGGAGGATTGCACAAAGCGAAAAGGGATTCCCATGAACCTTTGCACAGATTCATGGTTCTCAGAGGATGACACCTACTGATGCTGGTTTCATCTCGCACCACTGTGCAGGAGACTGTTGTGACTCTGAGTGAAATATCTCAACATCCATCAGATGGTTTCCCATGAAATTTCATTCAGACATTTCATGTCTCTAAGCATAAGCTGTAGGACCTTTGGTGATCCCTTAACTTTTCATCCAAGATTTGATTTCGCCCACTACTCCGGTTTATGACTAAACACCAACAGAACTAATCACATTCCCATCGACTTCAGCCGTACGTTGTGTTTGGTGCTAATTAGAGCTGAACTAAGATGATGAACACAGTAAATATTATATGTAAACACCAATCTATTTGTGCCTACACTTTACTAATAAGGTCCTGTAACGTGCACAGTCACTCACCTTCCATGTCTGGCTGTTCTGACTGAGCTGAACTTCGAAGTCAAAGGATGTGAGGAGGACACTGTGCGGACTGCCTGGACTCCATGATACCCTGGTCTCATTGGGAGTCCTGCTGACACTGGGAACACCTGGGGGTTGCATTTTAACTGCACACAAACACACACAGGTCCACGTGGACACGTACATGGAAAGACAAAAGTGCAGTTAATTAATTCTTAATGTTAACCAGTTATTTGAATGTAACACTTTTTGAAGTCTGCACAATTTAACAGAAGCTGCATTTTTATTCATATAAGATTCCATGTGGCCCCCGTTGAAGGAGCTGAACGATAAATTATGTCAAAAAGCAGAAGCAGTTACTCACTGTGATCTGACGCTTTATAATCTTTGAGGCTCTCCACCAATGTGCCGTTACACTTCAGGCTTATGTTGGGCATCTTGTCAAAAGTAGTGAAGGTCTGCGTACAAAAGCCATTAAACAGTGAGGACAGAGACTATACAGTGCAAAATCCTCTGAATCTGAAAACCTTTCAACTATGATCAGTGGCCTAAAGATTAAAAACCAAACACATTATAAAGAAAGCCAAACATCTATATGTTCTTGCTAGTGACTTACTTCATTTTCAAAAACAAAACTGCAGCCTTTCTGAGCGTGTCTGTGTGGTTTCAGCTGGCAGCTTCGACTGGATAAAAGAAAAGACAACAGTGCTGCCGGTTTGACCAAGTGCTCTTAAAATGTTTTCATCTTCAAAGCCCAAAACAAACATGATTGGTTTTCTCTTCATGGAATCTCCAAGGAAATGGAGCAAATACACTGAAGACTGGCAGCCATGAGTATAATATCTCTAATATCTTACATAATTGAGCTGACACGTCTTGCTCCGTCCTTCAGGATCCAGATTGTCTTCACACCAAAGATCCAACAGTCCACACCAGGATGGATGGAGCTGCTGTTCCATGTACAGCTGACATTATTGACAAAGTCATTTACACAGGCGAGTCCTTGGGGGCCAGAGACATAACAGACAGAGGTTAGGATGGTGTCTCTGTATCAGCGTCACTGGACCTGGCCTTCGTGTAGGACATTCAGAACAGTGAGCTCTGTATGCACTTGAATAACTGTTGCAAAGTTAAAGTGTTAAAGTTTTGAAGGATATAGTTTTTCAGCTTTAAAACTGTCACAGGTACATACAGATCATTTTTCTTGTGCTTTGACACGTCTGATATAAAGCACAAAATATTCATATCACTAGGAAGACGATGAAAAACAATGGAAAAATATTTTCTATCACTCGTGCAGAATGGACAGTAACATAGAGCTTTTTAGGTTGTGATCATTCTCAGATATACCTTGCGAGCCTTTGTGGGACTGGGCTGCGGGGGCCAAAAACAGAACCACCGGGAGACACAAGGACCAAAGCATCTTCATGGCCATGACCATGATATGACCAGAGGGGATCATTACGTACTGAGAAAAGTGGAACCAATATTGTTAAATACGTTGAGCAGTTCACATGGTTGCATTTACATCAGGAGCACTCAATAAAACTGGATTGGATATAAAAATCAAGTTATCTTTGTTTCACTCAGACAAGCTGCTGGTTGTAATAACAACCTGGCTGACTGATAGCAAGAACAACCTTGGTTTCTACAGTCACACGATCTTTCTCTATGAAACCTGAAAGTCAAAACTACCCCAGCCGACCACCGCTGGCAGGGAGCTTCACACTGCTGACAATGAAAAAACAGCACTAGGTCCATACTGAGCAGTCATCCTGAGAAGGCAGCAGTTACAAGTGAAACTCTAAACACTGACACCTGCGCTGCTGCACCGGCAGAAAATAAATGAACTGTGTGTTATAGTAGGAGCTTCCTGTGGCCATACGGACAATATTAAGAGCCTTATTTAATCTAGTTGACTTCATGACATGCCTTCATCTGTAAAAACAAGTGGTCAATAAAACTGTGAAGAATAAAATGAAAATGACAGAGAATTCTTCTGTAGAAATAGACCACGATGATATGACCCAGAAAGGAGGAATTTTCCATAAAGCTGCATATTTTTTCACCAGTTTGAGTCATCAGTTGGTGCTCGTTTTTCCATCAAAGCCTCGATGTGACGTTATGAAAGGTGCAAATGTGTCATCATAACTGATATGTGTTATATAGAACAATGCACTGTGGAAAACGGAGCCACTTGCTCCTGATAGTAACAGATCAGGAAACGTACAGCAAGAGACAATGCTAAAATGAAACCTGCACATACAGTAAAGTACATAAAAATAAAGACTTTTACAAAATATTGCAACTTATTCTTGCATTGTTATTTTTAAACAGGATTAGTGTAAAATAAAGAAATGGCGTACCTCATCAGTCTTGGTTAGTCAAGGTAGCAGGGGGTCTCTGTGAGGAAACACACCGTCACCTTCTACTGGATGGATGAAATTAAATTTCCTTTTTATCTCTCTGTCCTTATTTCCTTATACTCACACATCACTTTCTCTCTTTCTTGAGCAATCACCTCTCTCTCTCTCTCTCTTTGTCTTTCTGTCAGTAGCACTCATCCCTCTGTCTCCTCATTCTCACCCCTCTCTCTCGTCATGTAAGTGCCCAGTGACATTTTCCACTTGCAACCACAGCCTGTGTCTGGACCTTTACAGGAAGCCTCATGAAGCTGTGAGAGAGACAGAAAGAGAGAGCGAGAGAGGATGGGCCGGGGGGGAGCTCTGTTTTAGAGCAGTGAAAGCATCTCCTCCCACCAACCAGCAGCAGCAGCAGCAGCTACCTGGACCCCATCACGACTTTTCAGATAATAATTGCACTGAAGAAATACAAAGCAACACCACATCCTGTTTCAATCACAACATAAAGTGGGTTGTATAAAGAGAAACTTGCATGATGCCCTATGAAGTGGTTTATGTCAGTGAAGCTCAGCT